CTCGCGCCCCAACGTCTGGCAACCGCAAAACGGTGTGTTTGCGCATTTGCGGAAGCATGCGTACCCAGGAAGGCGGAACGTGCCCAAAAAATTGCTGGTTATATTCTAGCCACTGCATGCGGATTTCAAGTTGTATTTGTTGCAAAGAGCCTGGTCTGGGTTGTAAATTGGTCGTTATGATTGTAAAGTGGACTGTTCTAGTTGCAAAGTGGTCGTTCTCAAAGGCAAGCCAGGGAATTCGATCTTTTGCTGGTTGTAAAAGTGACCTATCTCGGTTGTAAAGTGTCGTTCGGGTTGTAAAGGAACCGAATCTCGGGGGGGGGGCGCCCCCCAGAAACATTGCAGAAGCCCTGCCAGGCAGCATTTGAGCGGTGAAAAGAACAAGGGGTCGTCTGCGCCGACATTGGCGCGAAAGCTGCCCGAAGGTCGCGCGCAGGCGCCCTCGTTCTCCACGCAGGGTGCTGCGCAGGCGGTCCGCGAAAGCTGCGGCGCCAGGCTGCTATGCCCACCTCGAGTAATTCCAGTCTCTCTTCGTCGCTGACTTGGCTTTCTACCGCGCCGCAGCCTGCCAGGGGGGCACGGTGGCAGATGGTTTTTTTTTTTTTTTTTTTTTTTTTTTTTTTTTTTTTTTTTTTTTTTTTTTTTCCCCCCTTTTTTTTTTTTTTTCTCTTCGGCGAATGGATAGGGGGTGAGGCGCGGACCATCTTCGGCGAAGCAGCGCGCCTCACGTCCAAGTGCTGCGATTTTTTTTGCACATCACAGGCTACAGGTGCGCCCCCGCTATGTTGCTGACGCTCTTGCTGCAGCTCACAAACTGGACGAGTGTTATTCAGCGCTCGCTACATTCCACGTGGTAGCCGACGAAGAGCGGTATCAAAGAAACTTGTCCACCGTCGGGGACGCCTGCCCCACGGCGGCTGGAAAGTTTCTAACCCGACGTGCAACCATAAAGGGTATACAAACAGTCCAGCCTTCCTGGGGAAGGCGTTCCAGGCGGCGGAACAGTTCATGTTATACCGTCCTTCGTCTGCCAAACGTGATCAAGAGTGGCTCATGCACTTCGACCCAACTGCGAGACATACATAAGGGCACGTTTGTGCAAGCGTTGATCATGTCTTGAGGTATCCCTGATTGTTGACGCAGCGGTCTGGAACTTCTGCTGGAAGTATTCATGTGCTCGCTGAAGTACAAGCATGTTGCGAAATCGTTTGTTCGAATTTGACGTGCCCCGAGCAAGCTTGGAGAAACGGAAAATAAGCGCAGTCAATGTGCTCGCCAATATTCAAGCCTGATTCATTATACATTGGCAACTTCGCTAACGGTCGCCAGTGCAGATCTGTTGGCATGCGCCAGACGTTGTGTCTTCGTGCAGAACCTAATCCAGCAACGTTCCCACTTACTCGTAAGCGCGTGCCTCAATCCGTAAACGTTGATTGGCCGGATATCGACGACAGTCGGTTCCTCGTCCCACTTGTAACTCACGCTTAATACTGGTCTGGGTTGTTTGATCGGACTTTGATAGTTTTTTGGGAGTTTTTGGTGACTGTTGTTTTTTTGTTTTGCAGCTGCGACGCGAAACGGTTTTTACGCTGGGCGAGCCAATGCAGACGACACGTCTCGCAAATGCTTTTGCAATCTCATGTTGTTCGACAGCTGATCCCAGCATTGTGTAGGATCCGCTGTTCTCCTTCTCTCCGATGTGGAACCACGGTAACGTGCAGGGATCAATGCGCAAGCGTATTGCTTCGGCTCGTGCCCGTCTAACTCGATTTCAGTTCTGCGAAACGAAGCAACGTTCGCAGTGGACCCTCGCGATGAATGTTACGCTCGCCCGCTCCAGTTGTCGCCGCACTCCTACGACGGTCTTCCCATCACTGGTACCTGACATCGCAGGACCGACTCTTAGAGTCTTCCTCCCAGCACCTCCTTCCTCCTGGTCCCCTCCCCGCACATTCGACGTCCTGATTTTTTCGGTACGGAGCCCTCGGAAGTCCAGACCCTTTCCCTGAGACCGGTTTTTCATCCTGAGTCGTTCTTGGACGGTCCCGGGGCCCGGCGAGGGTCCCCCCAGGGCCGACAATGAAGAAAAGCTTACCGTCCTGACTGTAAGGGCCTCCGGACAGTGCCGCCGATCCGGGGCGCTCCGGATGATGATGATGATGTTGATGATGTTGACGACGACGACGACGACCACGACGACGACGACGACGACGACGACGACGACGACGACGACGACGACGACGACGACGACGACGACGACGACGACGACGACGACGACGATGATGATGATGATGATGATGATGATGATGATGATGATGATGATGGATGATGATGATGATGATGATGATGGGGTGGTGGTGGTGGTGGTGGTGATGGTTATGATGATGATGATGATGATGATGATGATGATGATGGTGGTGCTGTGACGATGGTGATGGTGATGGTGATGGAGATGGTGATGATCCCGGCCCCCCCCCCACCCCCCCTCCTCTCTCCTGTCCCCCCCCCTCTCTCCTGTCCCCCCCCCTCTCTCCTTACCGTCCTGATTTTCTTTTGCGACGCGATCCTGTCTGGGTCCCGTCTCCCTCCTCCCCCCCGCCAACCCGCCTCCTCTCCGTCGCCCCCCGGGCGGCAGCGCGCTCCCAGGCGCGTCCGCCCCCGGCCGCCGCGGCAGCGGCGCCGCCGCGAGGCCCACCCTGGGAGGGGGCGCCCGTGCTCGGCGGGCGCGGGCGCGCGGGCGAGGGGGGTGGGCGCCCGAAATTCGGGGGCGGCCAAGAGGGGGGTGATGACTAGGGGGGGGGTGGATGTCATGGCGAGGGCCATGATATTTCTCCGGATTTCATGGCGCCTCGTCTGATTTCATTGCGTCCCTGGCCCCCCCGCTGGACCGCGCACATGCCGCCGGCCATGGTGTGCACCACCCCCTCTTGGACACCCCCCTCTTGGCCGCTCCCGAGAAAAAATTGGTACGGAAAGAATGGGTGCAATGCCCAACAGAAGTTCCTGTTCATCTTGAACAGGATTCGCTGTCCACGCCGCCGCGGCCTGTGTCCATTCGAGACAGAAGGCCGCCTGCCCAACAGCGGCCGCTGTTGGTTTGGGACAACAGTTGCTGTTGGGCATTGTACCCATTTTTTCCGTACCCATTTCGGGCGTCCAAAAAGGGGGCGGCGGGGTCGGGAGGAAGGGAGGGGGGAGTCTGGGCCTCCTGGATTTACAGTCGGGCCTGTCCCTCTACAGGAGGAATATTCAAAAATAGTCAAATAATAGTCAGGGGAAGGTTTTTTTTTTTTTTTTTTGTTGAGAATTTTGATGTATTTGTGAATATTCTTTGACTATTTTTAATTTTTCGCGCAAAATCCGCCTGTGGGTCGACGTGCCCGACCTAATCCTAGATGGGGCTGGAGTATGGCGTGGTCGGAGGATCGCGCCGCATCGCCGAGGAATCGCCGATGCGGCTCGGTGTGCAGCCCGACTTGCGTCACGTCGACGTCGCCGATGCATCGCCGACGTCGGCGATGCATCCCCGGTGCATCCCTGGTGCATCGGCGATGCGGCGGGATCCTCCGACCCCACCTACTCTGGCCCCATCTAGGAGGCCTCTAGGGAGGGAGTTTACCTCCAGGTGCGCGCGCCTCGCAGCTTGCCCAAGAAAGGAGGGAGGGAGGGGAAAACCAGGGAGGGGGCGGGTGGGGGGGAGGGCGTCGGTGGGAGGAGGGAAGGCAGGCGGGAAGGAGGAGGGAGGTGGGAAGGAGGAAGCGCGGTAGGGGGACAGAGAGCAGGGCGTGGAGGAGGCGGAGGAGGAGGAGGAGGGGCGCGGGCAGAGCGCTTCAGCTGCCACGTGGGAGTCAGGTTCCGATGTGCCCCGCTCGGCGAGCAACATCTGGTTCAGCGCAACACGGAGGGACGGGCGGGTTGGTGGGAGGGGTACGCGTTCGACGTGACGCGAGCGCGCCTATTTTGCCCCCCCCCCCCCCCCCCCCCTCCCCCCCTCTACTCGCCCCTCACCGGATATGCCCTCGCGTGTACGGTGGGGTCGTGTCGTGCCGACGCGGCGGCGACCCCGGTGCGGGCATTCCAGGCTGAACGCCGCCGGTGGCCAGACGTCGGCCGGCATCGAGCGGTGCGCGTTGGCGGGAAGCCTCCAGCGTTCGAGGTGGGGTGATCCGCGCGGTGGCAGACAGACCATCGCACGAGTCCTCACGATACGAGCCAGGCGTACGTATACGTTCTGCCCCTCAGCTCCAGACTGGGCGGGGGTGGGGCGCTTTCGGCCCTCGAATGGTTTGAAAAGGAACCGCTCTCTTTCCAACTCCGTTTCGCTCGCTCCTCCGTTCTCTCTCCCTTCTCCACTCCTCTTCCCCGTCCTCCCGCTTCCTCCTCCGTCGCCTCTGCATTCTTCTCCATGTCATTACCCTTTTATGTAGAGGATTCATTCACAGAAGGATCTCATTCTCTGGGAATGCAGCAGAAGTACATGTGTGGGCGAATTGCCAGTATATTCCTCATGGTGGCAAAGGGAAACCAAGAACACCAAAGGAAACAACGCAAACCAAAATAACCAAATGCGGATTGCAGAAACCCTTAGAACACCTGAGGACAACGAAACAGAAAACAAGCACAGCCAAAGATTTCACTACTTACTCTACCGTTGCACTGCCCTATTGTCCCCCCAATCTCCCCGTTCCACCCTCATTCCCACCACTTTACCCCGCCGTTCACCCCTCCTCCTTCCCCCGCTCCTCCTTGCTCTGCCCCAGGGGGGGGAGCAGGGAGAGTGGAGGAGGAGGAGGAGGAGGAGGAGGAGGAGAGGAGGAGGAGGAGGAGAGGAGGAGGAGGAGGAGGAGGAGGAGGAGGCGGAGGAGGACAAGGAGGTGAGGACAAGGAGGAGGAGGAGGAGGAGGAGGAGGAGGAGGGAGGAGGAGGAGGAGACGTCCGAAAGCCTCGCGCCGCGAAGCTCGAGCCTGGAGGAGCAAAAACACTTCTCAAGAACATAAACCTTGGGGGAGGTCCGCGCAGACTTCTCGGCTCGACGCCGGACCCCCGTGCAGGCGATCGCAAACATGCATCGAGGGGGCATGGATTAGCGACGAACGCCGAATGAGAAAACGTTGGCCCTCAGACTTCTCGGCTCGGAGCTGGGTCCCCGAGGCTGGAGACCGCTGAGAACGAATGACGTGGAGGGAGGAGGAGGAGGAGGAGGCAGAGGAGGCAGAGGAGGAGGAGGAGGAGGAGAGGCAGGAGGAGGAGGAGGAGGAGGAGGAAGAGGAGGAGGAGGAGGAGGAGGAGGAGGAGGAGGAGGAGGAGGAGGAGGAGGAGGAGGAGATCTCTCGGCTCGGCGCAGATCTCTCGGCTCGGCGCCGGACCCCCGTGCCTCCTCCGCTGGCCTGGCAGGTAGCGGCCTCGGCGGCGGCTGCGCTCGGCGGGGGCCCGCTGCAGCGCGCGCCTCTGACTCGCGCGGGCGGCGTGGGGCCCGCCGAGGGCCGCGGCTTTAGGGTCAATGCCGACCGGGCTCGCGCAGCGGTCAATCCCTGTCCTCCTCCCCCTCCTCCTCCTCCTCCTCCTCCTCCTCCTCCTCCTCCTCCTCCTCCTCCTCCTCCTTCCTCCTCCCTCCTCCTCCTCCCCCTCCTCCTCCTCCTCCTCCTCCTCCTCCTCCTCCTCCTGCCTCTCCTCCTCCTCCTCCTCCTCTTCCTCCTCCTCCTCTTCCTCCTCCTCCTCCCCCTCCCTCCGAGGAAGTCCTCTCGTTGTTTTTGTGGATCTCGCGCATCCGGTGCCTACTCTCGGAGATCGGGGGCGGCCAAGAGAGGGAGGGAGAGAGAAGCACACACAGGCAGAGATAATCTTAAGTCGGGCACGTCCCTCTACAGCAGGAATGTTCAAGAATCGTCGAAACATAGTTTTGGGACGTTTTTTTTTTTTTTTTTTTTTTTTTTTTTTTTTTTTTTTTTTTTTTTTTTTTGTGTAAGCAAATATTATTATAAAAACATATTTTTGAATTCTTTGACAATTTTTGATGTTTCGTCCACAATCCGCCTGTAGGAGGACACGCCCGACTTAAAAATAGTCGTCAATTCCCAGGAAGATAGGGGAAAAGGCGAACATCCAGAAAAGAAAGAGTATTTATGGGGATTCCCAGAATTCTATTCAGTTGGGTGCCCAGCCTCCCAAATGGGGTCCGAGTAGATGGGGTCGGAGGATCGCGCCGCATCGCCGATGCACCGGCCCTGCTGCTCGATGCCGAGCCCGATCTTCTCCACGCCGCCGGCGCCGATGCACCGCCAACTTCGCCGATGCCTCGTCGATGCATCGGCGATGCGGCGCGATCCTCCGACCACCGTCTACTCCGACCCCGTCCAGGAGGCCTCTACGAGAGGGAGTTGGCGGGGATGACCAGGGGCGGCGGATATCGTGGTGGGGGCTATGGTCTCTCTCTGGGTCTCATGGCCCCCTTCTTCTTTTTTCTTCCGCTGCGTTCCGTGGTTCCCCTCTCGTCGGCGCACATGTCTCGGGTCGTGCTTTGCGAGCCCCCTCGGGACACCCCCCTCTCGGCTGCCCCCGAGGAGAAGAAGGCTGGCGCAACCACACTTTCGGAGGTCCGCGCGGATTTCTAGGATCGGCGCTGGACCCACCCTGGCGGCGCCTCTGGCGCCGCCACTGGCGTGCAACTCGCGCGAGGGAAATCCGCCAGGGCATCTGAAAGTTGATCTCTCTTAGGCGTCGCGTAACGGGCGACAAATGGTGGGGCAGCGAGGGCTGCAGAAAAGGGGCTCTTTTGGGCCCGTGGATGGGCCCTTGATGACCCAAAAGGGGGCCTACAGGGTGCGAAAAGTGCATCTTTTCCCCCCCATCCATTCATCGCCCCCCATTAAGCGAGGCTCAAGTTGCTAACATATCCAGTTGTAATGATTTCCGGTTGCTGCTTGTTGTGCTGTTTTTTCTTAGTATCAGTTATTGTGTTTATTCTATCCAGTTGTTATGATATCCTGTTGCTAAGCGGGTTTCAGATCAGATTCCGGCAGGCAGGGCTACGCCAGCCCCTCTCGTAGGCCCCCGGGCAGGCATCCCTGGAGCGACCTGCTTGAACTCGCAGCGTGTTTCGGCAAGCGTTTTCTTACTCGTTCCCAGTACGCGTGCCTGAAGCCTTTCCGCAGGTCCTTCGCAGCTCATTCGAAGATCCTCCGAAGCTAGCTTTTCGAAGCTTGCAAGCTCCCCAGGCATGCTTTCCAACGTCCTGGCAAGCGTCTTCAAATATGCTTTCTCCTTGCTTGCAAGCTCCCCAGGCATCCCTGGGAAGCTCTTTCCAGGTCTTCCAGAGTTCTTCGCCAGGCCTTCCATCATTCCACTCTTCACCATACTTTTGCACGCTCGTCCGGCGCTCTGCTATCCGGGTTTTGGACCGACGGGTTCCAGAAGACGGCGATGGCCAATTCGAGGCTGGCGCCGAGGTGGCCGGGGACGCGGGGCGGCGGAGGGAGGGAGCGCCCCGGGGGGGTGGGTCGGGAGCTTTGGACCCGGCTACCCTGATGTTTGTTGTTTTTTATTGTACATATGTTGTTTGTTTGTTTGTTTGTTTGTATTTCGGTCGGAAGGGACTTGGCAGATCGAACAAATGAAAGGATGGTGGGTTCGGTGCGTCGGGGCTTTGGCTATTGCCTCGCAAGAAAAGCTGAATCATGTGAGAGGAAAGGCCCTGCCCACACCAACCGATGCAAGCGCGGTGGCGGATCCTCCTTCCCTCATTCGTCCTCTCCCTCCTCTTCCTCTTCCCTCCCTCCCTCCTCTCGCCTTCCTCTTCCTCTTCCCTCCCTCTCTCCCTCCATCCTTCCCCCCTCCCTCTCCCTCTTGCCTCCCTCCTCCCTCCGCCCTCCTCCTCGCGCCAAGGGGGATCAGAATAATGTTGCTGATGATGACGGAGACGGGACGTCGACGGTGGCAACAATGGTGAAACGGCGATGGTCATGGTGGTGATGATGATTCGGATGTTGACGGCTGTCGGGAAGTATGTACAAGATGAGGGTGGGGATGATCCACGGTTGAACTGATGACGGCGATGCTGAACATTATCGTGGTGATGATGGTGATAGTGATAGAGATGGTGCGTCTGCTGCTGCTGCTGCCGTTGCCGTTGTTGCCCTTGTTGATGTGGTTGTGTTTGTTGTTGTTTTTGTTTTTAGTTGTCGTTGTTGTGGTTGTTGTTGTGGTTGTGCTTGTTTTGTTGTTGTGGTTGTGATTGTGGTTGTGGTTGTGGTAGTAGTTATTTTTTTTTTGCTGCTGGTGGTGTTTCTTCTGCTTGTTGCTGCTGTTGTTGTTGATATCGTTGTTGATGTTGTTGTTGTTGCTGCTGTTGTTGTCGTTGTTGTTGCTGTTGTTGTCTTTGTTGCTGTCTTTGTTGTTGTCTTTGTTGTTGTTTGTTGTTTGGCGTTTGTTTGTTTGATTGTTTGTTTATTTGCTTGCTTGCTTGCTTGTTGTTGTTGTTGTTGTTGTTGTTGTTGTTGTTGAGTTCTCATTCCTGAAGAATAAATATGGTTGATCCCCCTCACTGGTGCATACTGTCTTTTCTCAATCAAAGTGTGCCCGTCGACGCTCGCACTTGGTTTTTTGACGGGGAAAGTCTTGGTGCTCAAACTGTGCCCCTGCCCCCCGGATTACAACAACAACGGCTCCCGCCTGAGACTTCCTCCGAATTTACTTAGTACCCCCGCTCCTGAGACTTCCTCGCAATTTACTCAGGATCGGTGCTCCCGCTTGTGACTTCCACGCAATTTAGTGAGGGCCCCCGCTCCAATCTGAGACTTCCTCACGATTTACTCAGGAACGGCGCTCCCGCTTGAGACTTCCTCGCAATTGAATTAAAAATTCCTCGCAATTTAATCAAGACCACCGCTACCGCCAGAGAACCCTTCACATTTTATTCAGGAATTGCGCTCTCGCCTGTGATTTCCATGCAATTTATTCAGAAATCGTGCTTTCGACGCTCAGGAAACACGCTGCGCCAAGGACGCCGTTACAATTCTGCGCTCTCGCCATACTCAGGCATCCCGCTTGACCCGCCCGACCCGCCCGTCAGGGGATCGCCCGCCCGTCGTGGGCTCCCGCCCGAGACTTCCTTCAGGAACGGCGCTTTCGCCGAGGACTTCCTCGAACGTTCACGCTCTTACCTTCCTGCTCCTCCTCCCTCTCACTCCTCCCTTCTCCCTCCTCCCTTCTCCCTCCTCTCCTCCCTTCTCTCTCCCTCCTCTCTTCCCTCATCCTTATGCCTCTCTGCCCTATCCCCTCTTCCTCCTCTCCCTCCTCCCTTCTCCCTCCCCTCTCCTGCCTCCTCCCTCCTTCATTTTTTAACTCTCTCTCTCTCTTTCTCCCCTCTCTCTTTCTCTCTCACTCTCTCTCACTCTCTCTTTCTCTACCTCTCTTATCTGTCTTTCTCTCCCTCTCTCTGCCTCTACCGCCCCCCTCTTCGCTCCTTCTCTCCTGGCGTTTTCTCTCTTCCTTCGTCCCTCCCCCTCCCTTGCTCCCACTCTCCCTCGTTCTCCCCACCTCCTTTTTTTGCCGGGCCCACACCAATTCCAATGGCGGGCGCATGTACGCCCACGAAGGATTGTCCGCCCGTTCAGGTTTGCCCGCCTGTCTACGCCCGCCGCCCCCCGCAAAGAGAAAGAATCCCCCCAAATGGGGTGTGATCGAAAAGAAAAAGGGTGGGTATCGAGGTTGTGGGGAACTCGTTTTGAATGATTCGCGGGCAAGTGAGAGCGAACAGTCCTATAATGATCCTTGTTGTTGCTGCTGCTGCTGTTGCTGTTGTTGTTGTTGTTGTTGTTGTTGTTGTTGTTGTTGTTGTTGTTGTTGTTGTTGTTGTTGTTGCCGTTGTTGTTGTTGTTGTTGTTGCTGCTGCTGTTGTTGTTGTTGTTGCTGCTGCTGCTGTTGCTGTTGCTGTTGCAGTTGGTGTTGTTGTTGTTGTTGTTGTTGTTGTTGTTGTTGTTGTTGTTGTTGTTGTTGTTGTTGTTGTTGTCGTTGAGTGTTAATTCCTAAACGATGATTATTGTTGGACCCCTTAAAGGCGCCCTGGCGCTCTCGCCGAGGCGCTGGCTGCATTTTCATTGAAAATGAGGCTCGCTCTCAAGCGGTTTGGGGGGCCGCCAAAACCGGCCCCCAACACAACAACGCTCCCTATCGAGATTTCCCCTTTTTTTACTCCGGTCCGGTGCTCTTGCTCGCCGCCGAAAGCAGCCGTCTTAACAAAACCACGCTCCCGCTCGAGATATTCTCCCGTTGTACCTTGGACAGGCGCGCTACTCTTTCTCTCATCGGCGCCGCCAAGCAACAATAACGCTCCCGCTCGAGACTCCCTTCTTTACTCGAGGCGGTGCTTCTGCTCGCCGCCGACAGCCCCCGTCCCGACAAAACCAGCGCTCCCGCCCAGACTTCCTCCCGTTTTACGTTGGGCTGGCGCTCTTTTCTCCTCCTTCTCCTCCTCGTCCTCGTCCTCCTCCTCCTCTTCCGCCTCCTCCTTTGCCTCCTCCTCCTCCTCCTCCTCCTCCTCCTTGTCCTCCTCCTTTTCCTCCTCCTTTTCCTCCTCCTCTTCCTCTTTCTCCTCCTCCTCCTCCCTCCTTCCCCCTCTCTCTTCCTCCCTCTTCCTCCCTCCACCCCCTCCTCTTGTCCCCTCCTCCCCCCTCCCTCTCCCGTCCCTCTTTCCTCCCTCCTCTTCCCGCCTCCTTTCCCTTTTCGTCTCCTTTGTCTCCTCCCTCCTCCTGCCTCCCTCCCTCCTCCCTCCTCCCTTCCCCTTCCGTCCTCCCTCGTCGCTCATTTGTGATACTTCCTCACCTTTTACTCAAGACTGGGGCCCTTGTTTCGGCGTCGCCTTTGGGGGGCTTCCAAGAGTCCCTGTTGAACCGTAATTATTAAATAGCTATCATTTTTGGAGAGCATCGATAATACGGAGGAAGAGGAGAAGAAGGAGGACGGATGACTTCCAGGGACTCCAAGGGTCGAGGGTCGAAGGATTGACTGAAGGGATTCCCTGAGAGGGTGTGGAGGGGCAGGTGGAGGATGCGAGCATGGTGGCGGCAGCGCCTGGGAGCGTGAACGTTCAGGGTCACGCGCCGAGGCCGCAGGATGGTGGCGTAACAGCTCGATCGAGGAGAACAAATCACGTCGTTTTCGGAGGTACTGTTACTACAAGTACTTATCCTCCCCCTCCTCCTCTTCCTCCTCCATCCTCCTTCTCTTCCTCTCCCTCTTCCTCTCCCTCGTCTTCCCTCCCCTCCTCGTCCTCTTCCTCCTTCTCCGAGATGCGGGGCGTGCGCCAGGCGATTGCGATGGCGATGTGCCGTCCGAGCTGTGGATGTTGAAGTTCCTCGAAAGAGGTGGTGGCGATACTTGCTCTGGCGGGGTATCAGGGCGAGGGAATGTCGGCCCCCGCGCGCCACAAACGCGCCCCATGATGGGATGTGGTGTCCAGAAGGATGCGTGTGACATGTGGGAGCATAGCGCATGGTGGTAAAATGATTGTTGTTTGTTGCGGTTGTTGTTGCCGTCTTTGTTGCTGTTGTTGTAATTTGTGAAGAAGACTTATTGTGGGTCCACCCCGCCCGGGAACCGTTTTTCAATGAAAGGGTTTCTCCCGGTGCTCGCACCCGGTTTTTGTCAAGAAACGGGGTGCCACCAAATTGGGCCCTTGGCATCCATTTTACAACAACAGCGGCTCCCGTTTGATATTGTGCTAGCAATTTATTCATCGCTTCGCTCATTCCGCCGGCCCTCGAGCGCTCTACGGGGCCCCTTTGAAGCGTCTTGGGGGCGCCTCCTAGGGGCCTCTTGGGGGCCTCTTGGGGTCTCATGGGGCTCCGTGGCGGCGTCTTGGGACCCCCTTGGGCCTCTTGGGGGGCTCTTGGGGGCCTTGGGGCGGGGCAGTCGAGTGCGCCCCCCTTGGAGGCCACAGTCCTCGTGAGTGGTGTCGAAAAAAAGGCCTCAAAACCATTTCTGAGTAGACTTTCCCGGGCTGCGGTCGGGGTATTTTTCGCCGGGGGACCCCCAGGGGCCGCCCCGCTCGCGCGCGAACTAGAAGAATTGTTAACCAGTTACCGGAGATCTTAGCACGCCTCTGGCGAAATCCCGAGTCACGCTCTCGCGCGTGGCGTCTTCAGAACTTACGCAGAAATCGCGCCCTTGCGTGGGACTTCCTCGCAATTTATTCAGGCGCCGCGCCCTCGACATTCAGGAATTGCGCTCTCGTTTTGGTTTATTTCACGATTTACTTGGGATTCGTGCTATCGCTTGAGATGTCCTCGCGATTCTTGCAAGACGCGCGCTTCAGCAACCCGCCTGCTCGACCTGGCCGCCTGGGCGACCCGCCCGTTGGGGTCTACCCGCCCGATCAGCCCGTCTGGTTCTGTCACGTGTTAGCTGCTCCTAGCCCCCCTTGTACTCCCTCTCCCTCTCTCTCGTGCATTCCCTCCCCTCCCCCGTGTCCCTTCCTTCCATCTATCCTCTCTTCCCCTTCCTTCGGGGCTGCACGAAACACACGTTGCAGGTGTGTGTGTGTGTATTGGTAGATCACCTTGGTATCGTTCTAGCGTTCAGCGGAGTTCGATCAGGATGGCCGTTGAATCCGTGAGGATGACCCTTGTTCTCCATGTCCTTACCCGTTTGGGCTCAAGGCTCTGAGCGCGCTTTCTGGCGCGCGGCGGATGGCATCGGAGTTGCTGGTCACAGCTGTTGCCGGTATTTCACAGGCGACTTACGGTTGGCTGTTGCGGTGCCCGCCGGTGCCGAGCTGCCCGACCTTCTCGTGCCCGGCGATCCCTCCCTGTCCGAATCTGCACTGCCCTGACTTGCAGTGCCCGGCGTGCCACGCGACCCAGTGTCCTCAGGCGCCCTCGTGTCCAGCCTGCGAGGCGGGTGAAGAGTGCTCGTGTGACGTGGCGTCGTGCAGCTGGTGGGTGCCTTTCGTGGCCGGCCTGCTGACGGGCGTCGGGATCGTGAGCCTAGCTTGGGTACTCGGCCTGCTGGTGCGGCTCTGTGTGACGAGGAGCTCGCCGGCGCCGCTGGACTCCAAAGATGGCGTCTCGGGAGGAGAAGGACGTGGCCTGGGTGAAGTACGGCGTCCGAGGTGCGCCCTTGTGGCACCAAAGGTTGATCTTGGCGCGCCTGCGGTGCTTTCAGGGGGAGTACGTCGTGCTGACGCCGGACGGGGACGTGTACATCGAGGATTTGCAGCCCTACCGGAACCCGGACATAGTGGCGGTGGCGTGGGAGACGGTGCCGGGGCGCGTGCCGATTGAGATCGGCGACGAGAGCGCTTACAACTTCGGAGCCTTCCCCCTTGGACGGCAGTGGGAGAGGTTGCTGGACGAGGCCGACCGCGTGGCCAACGCGGAGGAGCGTCGCCGCGGCCCGGTGGTGCACCCACCTGGCGGAGCTGGCGGCGGAGACCTCGGCGCCGGGCCCGTGCCGAGCCCGATCGTCGACGCGGGCGCGGCGGGGGAGGTCCGTGGGACTCTCACCCCGAGGGAGCGCGACCGTGAGGTTCGCGCGCCCGCCGCGCCCGAGGGCCGCTGGGTGATCGCCGTGGCCAACGGGTCCCTGGGGTTCGCCGTCGGCGACGAGGTGGCGATGTCGTCGGACGCCCTGGTCTCGCCCGACGGGCGGATGGGGCTGGTGCCGGCCCCCCGCTCGGCCGAGTGGGTCTTCGTGGAGTGCCTGCGCGCGGACGAGACGCCGGCGGACTACGTTGCCGCGAAGGCTCCTTCGGCTTCGAGCTCGGACGCCCGCGTGCTGGGCGTGCAGTACAACAGCCAAGGGGTCAGGCAACGGTTGTGGCGCGAGGTGTCGGTGAAGGTGCAGCAGGTCGAGTTCAAGGACTGGCCCATGCCAGGGCCGCGAACGGTGCTCTGGTGCGTACAGTTCGTGGACCGCCGTGGCGGCGGTCCCATGGACCACCGCCGCTGGTGGGTCGCCCACCTGAAGCTGTCCAACACGGACTTCGGGGTTCAGGAACATGAGCACGGGATGCGAGCCTTCCAGTTCTTCGGGGAGTACGACCAGATAGACCTTCCGAATCTGGTCGGGCTCGAAGTGATCTTGAGGCGGTGCCAGGTGATAGAGTTTCATTACGAGAAGAAGAACAAGGGCAGCAAGGCGAACGAGCAGGGGCAGGGGGTGACCCGCGACGAGGCGGCCTACTTCTCTGGCTCGCACCGCTTAGGCGGGGAGGTGATGATCTGCCCCGAGTTGGTGGAGTGGGTTTCGAAGGAGATTGGCCGAGACGTCGAGGTTACCAAGCAGATGAGAAAGGCGCGGGAGGAAGCCAAACTCTCGCGCAAGGATGGCGCGTGATGAGCCGAGGCCAGAGGGCGACCCCGCCCTGCTGGCCTTCGCACATGCGGGGGAGCACGATCGAGAAGGTCGTGCGAGTTTTGTGGCCCAGCGCGACGCTCTTCCCCTGGCTGTTCAGGAGCGCGTTCGACGTGATGAGGGCTGGGAGTCTCTGTCGCGTTCCGTGCGACGACGCGTGGAGGCCAGAGAGCACCGGCCCGACTGGGAGTCTGACGTGGCGCGGGCGCTCAACGAGCTCGGTGGCTACCAGGACACTCTCGCCAGTGAGCCTGTCGGTGGTGGCACCGACGGCGCCTCGCCGGCGCAATTCAGGCCTCTTGTGCACGACCTCGGGCTGTCGCACGTTCGTGAGTGCGTTGCCCGGTGGGGTCAGCCTCCCGCCGACCTCACCTGCCGGGGGGCCTTTCGAGAGCTCCAGGCGTCCCACAGCTATCAGGGGTCCCCTGTCTCTGTGGCCCTTCTGAACCTTGACCTTCTCAGCCTTCCTGCTGCTGGGATGCCCCAGGACCTGGGGGGTCTGGTCGAGAATGACCGCGATGAAGTTCAGAAGTTCGTTGAAGACTACCTCTTGCCAAAGGATCAGGCGGGCGAGCGTTTGAGCTCGAGCGGGGTCCCTCAGCACCCCTACCTCGATCCTCTCCTCCACCGTCCTCGTGAATATGAGCGTGTCATCCGGGCTCTAGCTCAACGTGGGATGCTTGAATTCGGTTTAGAAGTAAAAGAGCAGTGTGGCCTTCTTTCGGTCTGGAAGAAAAGCAGGACCCAGCGTTTAATCATTGACGCCCGTAGGTCTAACTGTTGGTTTAAGGATCCGCCGAAAACTCGTCTTGCCTCGGGGGATTCTTTTTCGCGTTTGTTTGCCGCGGCCGACCTGGCCCTTGAATTGGGTCAAACCGACATCCAGGATGCTTTTTGCCAAATGGCCCTGCCCGAGCCCCTCAGGCCCTACTTGGGTCTCGGGAAGGTTCGGGCGGGGCGCGTAGGTGTCACCTGTATTGTAGAGGGGGCCTCTGTAGGACCAAACACGTGAATCTTCCCAAGGCTGAAGGTGCTGGCGATGGGTTGGACGCATGCCCTCAACTGGTGTCGGAGAGTTTTGGAAGCTGCGTGTGATCGGGTCCCGGGCCTCAACAACGACTCCCGCGTCCAGGGCCACCGAGCCCCCCCTGATCTACGACCAGTAGCACACGCAGCGTATGTTGACAACTTCGTGGCCTTCTCTCAGTCTGCAGGAAAAGCTCGGGCAGCGGCCGAAGGAGTTGCGACCGAGCTCGAGCGTGTAGGTCTGCGAGCTCCTCCTGTTGAGGCAGCGCCAGGAGGCGAAGCTCTTGGCTGGATGTTTTCGAGTGACCGCCTCCTGGTGATTAGAAAAGAGAAAAGGGTGTGGCGTCTTCGTCTTGCACTTCAACACGCTTCGCGTCTGCGCTACCTGAGCGGGAAGCAGGTCGAGGTTCTTGCGGGCCACTGCGCTCATCTGTTTCTTCTTCATCGGGAGCTCCTGTCGGTCTTCAGCGGGGTGTATGCCTTCATCGGGCGTCATCGTGGGGAGAGCGTTGGAGTCTGGGATGTGGTTCGACGTGAGTTGCGGTGGGCCTCCTGTCTTATCTGCTTTTGCTCCAGGGACCTGTGCGGCCCCATCTACGCCCGTGTCCTGGCCACTGACGCTTCTGAGTGGGGTCTTGGGGTGACGGAGACCGTGGGCCTGGAGGCCGACGTGAAGCACGCCATGAGCTTTTCAGAGGCCTGGAGGTTCAAGGAGGGTGGAGAAGGGGCCCGTGAGCAGGCCCGGGAGCGGATCGAGGAGGCGAAGGTGACGGGGGAAAAGGCAGAGAGCGCTAACGTGCCGGAGGGCGTGGACGTCTGCGCCCGGCTGGAGCGGGGGGTCGGCCTCGTGCCTCGATCCCTTGTCGGAGGCCCTTGGAGGACAGTGAGGTCGCAAGCTTGGGATCGTCCCGAGAGTATTCCTGTTCTGGAGACCAGAGCTGCCCTATGGGGACTTCGACACATGCTACGGAACAGCCAGACATGGCATAAACGTGTTCTCATCCTCAGCGACTCGACGTCGGCTGTTCTGGCTCTGAGCAAGGGCCGAACGTCCGCGCCCGGGATGCTCCGAGTTGTCGGGCGCTGGGCTGCCCTGGCGCTTGTGTCGGGATGTTCCGTCTACCTGAGGTGGATCTCGAGCGAGGAGAACCCTGCTGATGCTCCCTCGCGGAGGGGGCTACTGCCGCCAGCCGCCGTCGCCAGGCGTGGAGCTGGCAACGCTGCCGCGTGCCCCGACCTCGGCCGGGGTCCACGGGGCGGCAGCGCAGCCGCTGCCCTGGCTGCCCCGGAAGGCGTCGGCCCACGCTGGCAGGCCGCGAGCGCGAGACCCGGCCCGTCGGGGCAAGAGGGGATCGGCGCCTGTCGCGGCCCTGCCGAGGGGCCACGCGCTGGCAGGGGTCGGGCCGCTGGCGCCGGCGCGGCGCCGGGCGCAGCCGCAGGCCCGACGTGCCGCTGCTCGCGCGGTTGCCCGCCGGGGCTCGGCTGCTACGAGGGCTCCGGAGCTGGCGAGGCTGAGCTACCTCCAGGCGGCCAGCGTCCGGCCGCGCACCCAGCAGCTGTACCTGGAGAGCTGGCAGAGCTTCGAGGACTGGGCACGGTGCCGCCTCCCCCCTCTCCAGTCGGAGAAGCAGGTCGACGACGCGCTCGTGGACTTCTTCGACTACCAGTACTTCGAGGGGGCGCGCTCCAGCCTGGGCTCGCGCCTGGTGTCGGCGGCCTGCTGCTTCAACCCGCAGTGGGGACGTCAGAAGGGAACCCATCTGGCGGCTGCCCGCCAGGCTCTCCGGGGATGGAGTCTGAAGTGCCCGAGCATGTCGCGGCTGCCGACGCCGTGGGAGGTGGTCTGCCTGTTGTGCGACTGGCTGGTCTGCAGCGACCGGTGGTCCATGGCGGTGGCGGTGCTGATGTGCGTGGTGTTCTACCTGAGGCCGAGCGAGGCCCTCAGTCTGCGCCGCTGCCAGCTGGTGCCGCCGCTGCCAAGCGGAGGCAAGAACCACTCGAGGTGGGCGGTGATCCTCCGCCCGATGGAGCTCGGGCAGCCGTCGAAGGTCAACAAGTGGGGCGACTCGCGGCCGCTGCACCTGCCGGATCACGACTTCACGGTCCCGCTGCTGGAGGCCCTGTGGCGCCAGGCAAGCGGTCCAGACGCCCCTCTGTTCGAGGTCACCTACCAGCAGTGGCGGAACGAGTGCAGGAAGGGCGGGCTGGCGCTGGGCCTCCAGGACTTGGGGCCACCGACGCTGTACGGACTCTGACATGCGGGCGCAAGCCTCGACATCAGCCTCGGCCGTCGGAGCCCGCTAGGCGTGCAGCACCGCGGCGGGTGGGCCCAGCCAAGCTCGATGCGCCGCTACCAGAAGGCAGGTCGTCTGACGGAGCAGTTGCACTACCTGCCGCACGGCGCTCAGCTCGCAGCGGCAAAGTGCGCCTCCGAGATTGGCGCCATCATGAGCAGGTCCTGCCGTTCTTGAGGGCCAACTGCATTGATGTGCGGTTCGCTATTGAGCTTTTTTTTCAGGGACTGGAAATTTCTCAGCTGCTTGGAGACGGCATGTTGGGTTGCCTATCGTTGAATTTGACATTCGCCATGGTGAGCCGTATGATCTAACGCTACCGAAGGTGCAAAAACGTGTGCGAGGATGGTTGTTGGCGTCACAAGTTATTGCAGTCTGGATGGGGACTCCATGTTCGAGTTTTTCTCGTGCCCGCGATCGGGGTGGCGGGCCTCCCCGACTAAGAAGCGATTCTGAACCTCTGGGGCTCCCAGATCTCTCGGCCGTGGACCGTGAAAAAACTCCAATCGGGAACGTGCTCATGATCTTCTCGGCGTCCGTCTTGAGGCTCTGTGCTCGTCTCATCATACCATGTGCGTTGGAGAATCCCTCGACCAGCAGGATATGGTTGTGCCCGCCGATGGCTTCCGCCTGCCGCCTCAGCCCCGTGCGTAGCATCCGAACCGATTTTTGTGGTTTCAATATGCCGTGGCGCAAACGAACCAGAATCGTGAGTGTGCATGTAGATTTGTCCAGATGCTCTCGTCTCTGCACTGGCCGCGGCCTTTGTAGCTACAGTAATAAGCCCCACGTTGAGCTGTCCGGAAAGTCTAATGGTATTTTCCGAACTTTAATTGCCGAGCCCTACCCCCGTGCCTTGTGTAACGCTCTAGCACATAGCTTTAAAGACGCCCTGGCTGCAATTGAGATATATGGCTACTGTGACCTTTAATCCGATGCCTCCAGTTGTAACTACGGCAAATCGGGAGTTTAGTATCTCCGAGACCGGTCCAGAGGGTTGTGTTTTATGAGTCGCTTGCTCCAGCCTTCTCAGGGCGAAGGTCTGTCGCCACGACATATCGCTGCTGGCCTGGATGAAAAAGAGCGGAGTGCAATGCTTTGTAGATCACCTCGGTATCGTTCTAGCGTTGAGCGGAGTTCGATCAGGATGGCCGTTGAATCCGTGAGGATGACCCTTGTTCTCCATGTCCTTACCCGTTTGGGCTCAAGGCTCCCAGAGCCCCCCCGCCCCGCCTATGATCCCCTGTAACTTTTTCTGGAGTTTAGTATCTCTGAGACCGGTCCAGAGGGTTGTGTTTTATGAGTCGCTTGCTCCAGCCTTCTCAGGGCGAAGGTCTGTCGCCACGACATATCGCTGCTGGCCTGGATGAAAAAGAGCGGAGTGCAATGCTATATATTTTTACATGTATTATATATATACATATATATATATATCCCCAGGGGGTACGATCGAAGACGAAGAGGGCGGGTATCGCAAGCTTCGGATATACGTGTTGAGTGGCCCGCGAGCCGAAACGAAGCGGACAGTCTCAAAGTTGTTTGTTGTTGTTGTTGTTGTTGTTGCTGTTGTTGTTGTTGTGGTTGTTGTTCTTGTACTGGTGCCTGTGGTAGTAGTCGTAGTAGTCGTCGTCGCAGTAGTCGTAGCCGTAGTCGTCGTAGTCGTAGTCGTAGTCGTAATAGTAGTCGTCGTCATAGTCGCAATCATAGTTATAGTCGTAGTCGTAGTAGTAATCTTCTTCGGAATAGTAGTGGTGGTGGTGGTAGTCGTAGTAGTAGTCGTAGTCTTAG